CCACACCATTTTCTCGCTGTCACACATCCCAAATCAGACAGAGAAAAAGAATGTCCCCTGATAGGAAGTATCTATGTCCTGCTATAGCATTTTCCCCTAATTTAGGTTGCATTATTGATGTACAGGACTCTGTACTTGAATAATGTAACAGTAAGACTCTCACAGAAAGCACTAGCACTGGCTTTAATGTGTGTCTATAAAGATAAGAAAAATGTATTTTAAAAGTCCAGCAGCTTTCAAACAATATATTTTCAAGTTACAGGAATGCTCACCACAAGGAATTTAAAATTGAGGTGAGAAGGGGGAGCAACATTTCTTCTAAAATGCTAATGAGCTACTGCCTTATAAAGTGAAAAAAAATCAACAAATCTGACGTATGAACAAACATTATGAATATTCAGGAAGTTTAAGCCGCTGATTCAAGGTTTTCCTGGAGTGGACAACTTTTGCACTGATCACACAAGCCATTGTTTTTCTTCTCATCATGAGCACACTCCACTGTGGTGTCGGTGTGCTGCTGGAACATATGCGTGGAATTGCAGGGATTGTAATTCATCCAGATGGCAGGAAGCTCTGGAATTGTTACTCCTATGCTACAGATGTTTAACAATCCAACCATATGGCTCCAATAAGGCAGCCTTGTCAAAGAGTACAAAAACTGCACTAGACACCGAGCCCTGCAAATGGGAACGCAGTCCTGAGGTGGGAATGTTCATATGGCTGCACTATAAATGCACACATCACACTGGGAAGCTGGCATGGCTACTGCAATTACAGGATTTATGAAACATTATTTAAACTCCTGAAAACAATCAGGCCTCATATTTGCATAATTTCCCCAAGTCAGCTATTAAAAGAACATTCCTCATTTGTTTTTGAAATTCATTAAAGGCATCAAACAAAGGTGAGTTGAAAAGCTGGGTAAATAAATACATGTTAATAATGTCCCCAGCCTCTGGCCTGAGGGAAATACCACTGTAGGTAAAAACTGAGATTCAACCAGAGAGACCAACAATTCCTCTAGAAAAAGATTTGTCAAAGTCAGGGAGCCCTGCTGATGCTTGTGACAATTGTAATGTGGAAAGCTGAATGTTGAGAAACAATCTGAGATCAATAATATCTTGGCCAAGAAAGGAAAGCACCATGAAATGGTCCATCTATAACTCTACTGAATTTTGGCAGGTTTGAAAGACAGATAAATGGCAGCAAATCAGATTGTTAAATCACTAATCCTGTCATTATTACATCCTGTCACATTGCATAGATTTAGACATTAGAAAAAGAGTGTAAGGTAGGAGAGTGAGAAAACACTTAAAAGCTCAACTCAATCTGTGAAGAAAAGGTGAATTCCCAAATTTTGTTTCATGGTTGGTGCTTTTCTGCCCAAAAGTCAGCTGGCAGTAGCTGCTGCTCAGAGTCCCATCTGCCTTCCCTCTGATGTCAGGTCTCTGACCCTTTGTTCCCCACAAGAAGTGTCTCTCTGTACAAATCTGTTGTGCAAGAATAAGATTAAAATGGACAGACTGAACAAAGCATTGGTCTCTCAGACAAAAATGCATCCATTTAGCACACAGGGCATCTTTCCACCTGACATATTCTTAAAGGGAACTATTCAATTACCATCTCCTCACAGGCTAAAGAGCACAAAAGAGCCATGTAATATTCTTTTTCTCTTTTTTTTTTGAGCAGCAAAGTATTCAGAGGTGCTTTATCTACCACAGATACTAATCTAGGCAATATAATTTTAAAACATCCTTACAAAAACCTTGAAGGGCAGTTGAACCCTGTGGTTGTTTAAAAAAAGATTTTCTGCAGTTTATGCATTTGCTCTGCCAAAAGCTTACCTTAGCATACAAAGTACAGTAAATCATAGCTGCTCTGATTTACTGCCCAGACTGTGCTGTTTGTTTTCAGGGACAGCTCAGGGAAAAGCTCTGTCAAGTGTAAGAGCATTCAGAGAAGGGGAATCGTTTTGCAAAGCTCCCACAATGGTAACAACATTTCTAAGATATCAGTGAAGGGGAAAAAAATGCAGATGTGCATTTGCAGCATTTTTCAGGGGGGATTCTTTGAATACCACTGCAACCCCAAAATATTTCAGGCTCTTTGGAGGCACAAAGACAATTAAATACCCCAAAACTGTTTAGCCTAAGCATTAATGGGCTGGCCAGTTGTATAATTTACCAGGCAAACAGTTAAATTATTGGACCTTGTGCCTGAATTCCACATTTTGTGGGGCAGCAGCACATACAAATGCCAAAAAGGCAAAGAAGACACCGGAGAAGTGGCAGAGCAAGAAGCTCTGGATCAATGTGATTATTTAGAACTGAGGGTAGATTTTATTAGACTTAATCTATTTAGTAAGCCCCAACAGGAGGACAAAGATAAAACCATATATCTGACATCCTTTTGAAAGTTAGTAAATGAAAAGGGAGAAGATCAAAACAGTAGCTGAAAGCCTTCACTTCTGTTTTAAAATCCAAGAAACAGTCATTAATAGAGATTTAAACTCAGCCCTCTCTAGTCTAAACATGTCACTGTTAATTACAAAGCCATTTAACTTTTGCAAGAAATAAAGACTGCTATTAATGAAAGAAGAACCAATTAGCCTTTAATCTACACAGTGTTTTTTAATCAAACTTTCTTTTGATCATCAGCCTCACTGCAGGATGTATCCCTCCTCCCCATGTTGTAGTGGCTTCCATGGTTGCTAATGGAAAATGGATTTTAAAGGGCTGGCTGAGCAGGGAGAGCCCTCTCTGCAGGGCTGGAGCTTCCTCCCTTCCTGCCAGGGACAGCTCAGGAAAAGCTCAGAATTTGGAGTCCTGAACACTCTTGGAGCAGCTGCCTTTAGAGGAGCAGCACTGAAAGTGCCTAGAGGAACGTGGGACAGGAGTACTGGACAACCTTGTTAGGAAACAGCAAAAAAATCCCAGTGTAGAGAGAAGTAAGAAATGGGATGGAAAAAGGCAAAAGCAGAGAAGTGCCTCCAGGAATGAAAATGGAATTCACTGCTGACTGCAAAGGATGATGAATGAGAGAATTTGCTTGCTGGCACAGGAACATATTGTGGAAAAACAAAACAAAACAAATGGGATCAGGGCTTGATGTGTTACAAACAAAGAGGTGACACGAAAAGGATCCCATTAGCAAAATACTGGACTTCAAACTGTTGCTTGAGGGCTCAGAGAATTTCAAGGAGGTTTTCTGTTTGGTTTTGGGGTTTTTTTTCTGTGTGGCTACTTGTAGTAGCAAAATAATAAGTCCAAGCATCTGGAATCCATCATGATGGAGAACTTCTTCCCTGACATCATTTCCCCCTTGGCTGCTGTTGCTGCTCTGATCTCTGGGAAGGACAGAGAGCAGATGTCCCTGAGCACACACCAGGCTGATAATGGAATAGAAGAACCTGACTCCTGCACATGTAAACAGCAGAGAGAGTGTAACTATTATCTGCTCTGTGTCAAACACGGGGCTCTTGGTCTGACCAGATACCTGCTGCCTGCTCTGCATTAGCAAAATCTCAGTGTATGCTGTTCTTTCTCCACCACAGAAAGATAAAATTTTCCTGGCAGCAGCAAAACACTAAGTATTAATGCTAACAAACAAACCACTTCAAAACAAATGTTAATATCCTCAAAGAATCAGAAAGTCTGGGGAGATTTATTGTTGCGATAGTATGGCAATTAAAAAAAAATTTAAAATAAAAAATCAATAGATTGCAGGGAGAAAAGTGATAATAAATATGCTCTGTGACCGACAGGATTCTGAGTCATGAAATTCAAGAATGTAATAAATGTATGTGGAACAACTGCTGACATGGTATTGACACCTGAGATATTTGAAGGTAGGTACATACTTACCATGGGAAGGATTCCAGCAAAGACAATAGGTTGCAATAAATGTTTTTCAGGGCTTGACTAACAGCATTTTGCACTTCAAAAGATCAACTTATTACACTTTCTTTAAAATAATTCTAATGCCTTGTCTCAAAGGGCTGGTGATTTTTCACAGCCTAAACCCCTCAAATGCAACTGTTTGGTATAAAGGTCACTGAAAATGAGATCAGGGTCCATTCATGGTTTTCAGCTGCTCGTGTATTACAATATGAGTCCAACACAGGAACTCAGATAAAAACGTCAACAGAGCTACAAAGAAATAGCTGTAAAGCACAATGTGAGATATCTGAAGTTAGCTGGATAATTGTATCATTTTCACATTTATTCCATGGCACTATAAACGTGTTAATAAAATTTGGATTCTGATGCTGATCAAAACCTCTTTGTGTTTTTCTGGTGTCATAATCTCACTACACAAGACATAGCAAGAGGTCCCATCTCCACTCTCCTTTTGAGAACATGCAGAACACTCAGAAGGCTGCAATGCTGAAAACATGTGACACTAATGTACAGGGTATTTTTAATTAACAAAGCTCTTAGGCGTTGCTGAAAGATCCATTTTGATTTTTGTCCCCCCTCATATTGACCTAAAACACTCCAGAGCTCTGTATTTATTTATACAGTACAGCTGGGAGAAAGTTCTTCTGATATTTGAGAAGCTTTAAAAAGTTAAATTGTTGACAGGAACGATTGTGGAAAAAAAAAGATATTTTAAGTCATTTAACTCTTGAAGTAAGATCTTTCAAAGGTAAGAGGCAGAAACTTTACACTGCTGCTTAAATTGTGTGGTAGTTTATTCCTGAGTGCTCTCAGTTCCCCTAATTCATTAACACTGGTGAATACTTGCATTAATTACTCCCCAAAGTAAGCCCTGATTCAAGAAGGCACTAAGGGACTTCATTAACTCCCTCCCTAATGACTTCAGCCAAATCTCCCCTCCTTACTTAGAGACGCACATATCCAAACCACCCCGAAATATTCCGTACCTGCGATTCTGCCTGCGACCAGCGCCCTGAACACCAACCCTAAGAGAACACAGCTCTAATTTATCTCCAGCTGCCCCAGCACCCCCTGAGCAGGGCCGGGGCCGTGTGTACGTACGTATGCAGTAGTCCCCACTCTCGTAGTAGCCGGGGCAGCACTGCGAGCGCCGGCGGTACATGGTGCGCAGCCCCCTGCGATAGGCGGTCTTGTAGCTGATCCTGCAGCACGAGACACAAAACCACGGGACACTATTGAAAATCAATGCCTCCTGCTGCAATGATATTTGTGTTAAATTATGGTAAGGCTAGCATTCGATAATTATTTTTAAATGCATGAAAGCTTTTTGATAATAAACGCCACAATAAGGGAGGAATCGATACTTGTTTTGAGGCTTGAAATATGACTCGTGTTATGAGCACAGTGCTCCTGACAGTCACTGGAGCTCTTCCTGGGGCAGCTGCTGTCTTAAAACATTTTCCCAGTCCTGCTGCAAGGGCAAGGAGTTTCTTCAAGAATAAATGATTTATTTTTGCACATCAGCAAGGTCAGATCTCATCAGTGGAAGGAACAGAGTCTTCTGCAGAGACCACTGTGTCAGCTGCTACACAAAACCTTTCCACAGTGGCAACTGCTCTCAATACACAGCTTGAGACGTTAACCCCAAGTGATTTGTTCCTGCTTTCAAACAGTTCCAAGGCACTCCTACCTTGCAAAGTGTCATTATAGTCCCAGTTCAGTATTTAAAGCCTGTTTTCCCAACTACAATACTACAGTCCACAGAAATTAAAAGGTGTTTAGCATTCTGAAGCATTCCTACATTTATTCACAGCATTAGCAGGGATACCATCATAGAAAGGTAATATTTAACTGCATATTTAACAGCAAACACTTCAAAACAGCTTTGCTAGTTTATGGAAATTACCTCAATTGAACAGAATCTATTGTCCCTCATGTTGGATAAACTGATCGAATTTACTCTGCTGCATTCCAATCTATACAATATTCCAGAAAGCTCTGCAGCTCTGTTCACTTCCAAACACTGTAACACAGGAGCTAAAAAGCCAAGTGCCACAGTCCCACTGGGATGGTGCTGAACAGCCAACTTGCAACTGAATTCATGAGAGTTGAGATAAAAAAAGGCTTCTAAAACCCCCTGGAAAGATTGTGAATATTAGTGGATATTTATTAGGATACTTTGGAAGCATAATGAATATAACAGAAATATCCTGCAGCCTGGGAAAAATTAACTCTTTGATACAAGGTTTCATTCAGTCCTAGAAACAGACCCATCCTCATTTTACTTGATTTTCAGTGCAGATTTGGGTGCACTAATTCTAATTTCTAATTATCACTAACCCTCAAATGCCTGATTATTCACAATTTAGGAGGTGCATGGACTTCCTTTTACAAACCTGAACATGCACCCATCACTTGGAAAAGAAAGTTGGTCATGTCTGGTCAGGGAATAAGACACTTCCAATAGACACTTCCAAACCCATGGCAGGGCCAGTGGAATGATACCTTCTCCTGGATGGCCCTATGAGGGACTGACTATCACTTATCTCACTCAAACTTCAGGCAAAAATCTCTGTAATTCTACCGAATGCCCTGGAATTCCAAACACACTTCTTTGTGTACACATCTATATCGGAGCACCACAAACATTGGGATAAACAAGAGGTGTGTGAGGAGGTGAGAAGGCAGCAGGAAGCTCAGGTTTCTGAGGATGAGCTCTTACCTGTGCCTGGTGCACTTGAACCAGTTGAGGATGTCTGTGCATCGTGTGTAGTAGATCTGGTCAAAGGGGTGAGCGTAGGATTCCTGCACGGTCACGGCGTAGCTGAGGGGGGACAAGGAAAGAGGTGAGAGGCTGTGAAAAGCTGCAGTTCCCTGTATCTGCTGCTCATGGAAGTCCAGTATGAAACCTATTTACATCAGGAATCTTAGAAAATGGGTATCAGCAAAGAGCAGAGAAGGGCTTCCTTCTGCTAGATCTTTTCTGGTTTGGCTTCATGGCTGATATAGGCATAGAGATATCACTGAGAGCAATAAACCATTCTCTTTTAGGGACAAAACCACATATTACTAAAATTCATGGAAATTTAGAAGGTGAAAAGTGAATGGATATGGGCAAAGCCTGGGCAATTTAGTGAGAAATCACAGAACTCCAACAACAGCAAGAACTGAGCAATCCTCCCAAAACACCACTTAGCCATGTAACAGCTTCTATGTTCATTATTGTTTGGGCCTCTCACGTGACACAAGAACCCAAATCTCCTGCTGGGGTCAGTTGTGGCAGAGCACTGCCCCACACAGGTGTGTGCACTGCACAAGGGCCTCCTCTCTCAGGTGTGATCTGGACACAGGCCCCACTATATCAGACTTAAAACATCTTTGGAGAACAATACCCAAATCACCCAGGTCAAGACCCAGGAATGAGATCCTCTAGGTCACTCATTATATGGATTGTCTTAGTTCTGCAGCTGATTTCCCTCTCATCAGCAGGACTGCAGATGTGATTAAGCCCTGGGAGATTGCACCCACAAGGCAATACCAAGATATTTGCTTGGAGGGGCTGACTGGCTTGAAATCGAAGATTGGGCTGTTCCTGCCCTCCTTGTCGTGTCCCTTCTAGACAAGCCAAGGCTCCCCTGCTTTGCCCTCTGTCACTGTTTGCTGGGTTTGACAATAATGTTTTTAATTCTGCTAATGCCAAAATATAAAATATTTACATTGCTCATTATTAATGTAAGACAGTAACACTTGCAAATCTCAATTATTATTTTACGATCCCGTTTATTATCCAGCAATAGCCCTAACAATCTTTTCCCTTTGATTTATTAACATCTAACTAACAAAGTCATCTTGGTCAGTACAACCAATCAATTTTGGTATTTAATTTTTGTTTCTCCTTGATTGGGTCTCTAGGTTGCTGACTTTCTTCAGACAAAATCAATATTTTATTCCTGTGCTCTGAATGCACTTCAAGCACACAGACTGCAAAATCCTTTTCCTGCACAGTTTTTGCTTTGCAGTTGCATTATCTACAATGAGTTAATTCTCTAATTAAGGCCTCAAAACATAGTCATTAAAGATGATTCTATTTTTACCTTTGTAAGGGGTGTATTTTGCTGAAGTGTACAGCAATTCAGATTTGCGTGGAATTGAACCAGAGAGCAGGACTGGAAATTTAGCAAGTTAAACTGAGAAGTACAGGACCTTTAGCCTCTGCAAACAGCCTCTGTGTGAGTGTGAACCCATCAAAGGCTGTGGGTTTCTCTGTGCTCACAGGAATTGGCCTGCTCAGATCCACTTTTAGGACCAGGACACTGGAACAAGAGAGAGAACAAGAAATTCCAGGTCCTTTCATGTTCAGTGCTTTCATTCACTCTTTGATGCCAGCACGAATTTGGCAGGAAGAGCCCCAAAGTTCAGGCCAGACAAAAACAGCCAGGATGCTGCAGCAGGAAGAGCTTCAAACTTTCTTGCTGGACAACAAGCAGAAAAAAGCAGGACAGAACAAGGCCAGCATTTCTGTGGGTCTCTCCATGAGGGATGCAAACACCTCAGGGCACTCCTGTCCCTCAGACTCTGGAGGGGCTTCCCAAAGGGCACAGGGGGATGTGGTCAACAGCTGCAACCTCAGAATCAATTCCTTGGGATGATCCAAACCCTCCAAGGCACTCCAAAGCACTGTTTCTGTAAAGCAAATCTCTTTTTTGAGACGTGGTGGTATTTAGCAAATTATGGCTCTCAGTTTGCCTTCTAAATAATAAAAATATTAAATGGATGATTAAAAAAAATGGCAGGTTACACATTACCTTTCCCAGTGACTACAAACATTTGGATCATCTGGATTTAGGGACAGAGTACTTTTGAGCAGGAAAGTCAGAATCAGCCCTCTTAGAATCCCCTGGAACAGCACATGTACCACCATTGTTGTACCTGCAGAAAGAGAAGAAAGTAGAGCCATTAGAGGCAATTTTGAAGAAAATATCCTTCTTGGCCTTTTCCTCCTCACTTTTGTGCAAATCCAAATACTGTGGAGCTATTCAGAAACTGAAATACTTGAAAAAGCAATCAACTAAACAGTAAAATGCTTTAAAAGTTCAAATCCATTCTAAAAGGAATTTATACATTTAAACCTAATAAAAGCAATGAATTTGATGATTAAGCCACCCAAGATATTGATAGCCCCAATGATTCTTCCAAAGAACATTTCTGATAGTGATTATTTTTATGACAGGCTGTCTGTACTGACAAATAAATCACTGAGGTATTAAAGCAATCTATTCTTCCATCAACCTATAGGCAAGGGGGAGAATACCCAAATGCCCCCTTTGATTTATTTAAATGGGGTTTACAGGTGTCAATATGGGCTGGATGTGAGACTCGTGCTTATTGCATGATGGAAGGAAAATCAATGCCCTCCTCAAGCCCTGGATGGGGAACCACTGAGAATTACAGAGGTCAGTGAATTGGGGCATGTTACACAGAGCACTGAACATGAAATAAAAATATTTGCATTGGAGCTGGAAAGAGGTTGTACAAAATTCACCGGGTGTGGTGTCTTCATCACCTTCCTGTTCATCTATTAAATGTACTGACTTACGCCTGCTTGGGGCTTTGAAACCAAAGTTGTGGTGCTAGCCTAGAAGTCTCCAATGACACCAGTCAAAAATTTGAAGTAGATAGAAAATAAAATTGCTTTTTTGGTAACAGCATTAGAGGTGTTAATCTGTAAAACATTAAGTCAGGAAAAAGTATTTTTAAATACCCATTTCAGGCATTTACACGGACACATAATTCACCATTCAAATCAGAAGTCCTAGAAATTATTCCTGGCAACAAGATTGCCCTAAAAATAGATTGAATCTTCATATGATCATCAAAAAAAACACATGGCTCATTGCCTCAGGGTCCAGAACAGCAAAGGGATGTTAAGAGGTTTGCTCTGCAGGGCCCTGATATACAGCCCAGCATAAAGAAGCCATCACAAAGCGAATGAAGAGCCAGGAAACTGCTCAGAAATTACCTCCTGACCCAGAGCCTTCTTAGCCAGTTCAAGGACACCCATTGCCTTTAGTGGATTCAAGTCAAAATCCCAATGGGAGCAATAGCTCATCTTTTAAATTATTCCTAGAGCGCTGCTAAACCCAAAGATAGGTCTTAAGCCATGTAAGTCATATTAATGTTAATTAACATGATTTAATGCTAATGTTCCTCATGAAAAGGTTTTAAGTCAAGGAGTGACCATTTTTTACCTGTGGGCTTTCCCAAAGTCCCACAGCAACAATGCAAAAGCTTAGTCTGGAAATCCAGAGGGCTGACAAGGCAAGGATGGATTTATGGAAAAGCCAGTGCCTATCCCTGTCCTGGGCACTCATCTCCATGGAGGAAAATGCCTGGAGGAGCTGAGCTGCCAAAGTCCCAATGTTCCAACAGTCAGAGCTGTGGGAGAGCAGAGGTGAACATTCCCTGAACATCCATGGACAATGGACGTGAACAACCCAAGGATGAGGCTGCACAAACTGGCATCCCTTTGACACAAACCCCTCCCCAAAATGCCTTTATTTGTGACACTGGGCAGCACTGCAGTAAGGCCAAAGCAAGGGGATAAGTGTGTCTTGGCACTGTATTTCCAGGTTGTAATTTACTTTACCCTCCTTCTTCATCCTCTGCACCTTTGGTACAGGGCAGGGCTGAGCAAGTGGGGCTAAAGGAAAGCTCCTTCTGATGGGCAGGTGTGGGCAAAGCTGCTCCAGGAAATGCAAATCTTCAGAGAGGGCTTAAATCTAAACTCAGTTCTGTGCTCAGTTTGTTAACTTCTGGAGAACATCAACAGCCTGGGTCTGTGCTACATTAATTACAGGCAGAAAGGCAGCCTGACTTTAAATCAGTAATTCATTGCCTGCCTTTGCTTTCCATCAGTTATCAGGAACTGAAAGGTAAATAATAATTAATTCAAGCTAGAAATCAAACTTCTCCTCCACTCCAATTTTTTCTTCTTCAGTACTAACTGAAGCCAGTGCCCTCGAGTTCAGCAGAAAGCAAACTTTCAAGAAAGATTTGCTTAGAATACACCAGATGCTAAGAAAGAGGCTCTTAAGATCACTCATTCTTGCTGAAAATTACCCATTCTTTATATTGAATTTTATATCTCCTTTATATTAAAGTACTCCCTACAAAATAAAAATAAATGAGAATAGAGCCCTGCTGCCTCACTCATTCTAAAGAGAATGAGGTCTAAAGCAGCCCCATATTTGAATTCTGTAGTTCTCAGAGACCTCAATTTGTTCCTAAGGAAATAACGCCTCAGTTTAGTTTTTAAATCAAACAAATGTCAAAGAATTATTTATAAGCCCTAATAGCACACAGAATATTTTTTTCCTGTGTATTAGAAAGAGGTTCCAAACTGTTTTCCAAACTTTTATTGCTAATTTCTGTTATTATCTGTTTATGAGAGAGCTGCTTTGTGTCATTAACTTCCTAACTTTGTAAGTCAGATCGAAGATCAGAACCATCCAATTCCCCAAATCCAGCAGAACCTCATTCATCTCAAGTGTCTCTTTTTGTAACTCAAATGAAATATTTCACTTTGATCACTGTTAATAGAAAAGCCCTTGCACCAAAATGGAATGGTTGCTATTAAAGGAGTCAGAATAAAACTCTAAAAATAGGAGCACACATATTAAAAACCAATATCAAAAAAGAATCCAGTAATGATATCTAATGCTGGGCTTTCAGCTTTCACTGCTCACCACAGCACACAGGAAATTCCTGCCTCAAATTCAGTGTTTGGGGCAGATTGTGCAAGGAGGCAGCACCAGCCTTGAGGGGGACAATGCCTGTACCTTCATTAAAGCTACAGCCAAATTACTGCAACATTTCCAGTGTCTGCCACTCTCCCAGGACAGGCAGCCTGGGGGCTGAACACCAAAATAAATGTCACAATGGTTGTCTGTACAATCCCCACATGGACTCTGAACTTTTTGTGTCTCCAGACCTGATTTTTCTTTTCAGAAGCGAAAGAAGTCAATTTAGGCAAAATTTGGGAAGAGTCTTTCAATCCAAAGGACAGCCAGGTGGTTTTTCACAAGTGTCTCTTTCTGGTAATTATAACTGATGAGGTATCTGCTACTCCTTAGGCCATTTTCTCCTATCTTCCTCCTTTTTGAAAAATTTCATATTTCATCTACAATACTGATACAAGTCAGTGCTTCCATCACAAAAGAAAGGAAAGCTCCAAATTCTAGCTACAGAAAATCTAGTAGGTGGCAAATCATTAATTTATTTGTCTGTGGAGCTGCTTTACAAAAAACCTTCTTTGAGGAAACTGTGCTGGGGTTTGCAAAGAGACCTCGAGATGCAGATGATCCTTTAAACTTCATGAACATCAGAGTGGGGAGAAAGCAGCACCCCTGAGAGTAGGACCTACCTGCAAAGAAAATAAGACCTCAAAGAATCTTTTGAGATTCTGGGTGAAATAAATATCCTATAAAGCTTTTTCTAGACATTGAAGACTTGGTTTTGGCAATGTTCTTGTGAAAAAAAGACCAGCGTGTACTTTAAGTGGCCAAAGGAAAAAAAATAAAGAAACCCAAAACTTACAGGTCCAATTTCTCCTCTGTTTCCGTGTCTGACAGGCTAGAAAATCTAACTAAAAATGACCATTGGAGACTTTCCTGTTCAGGGCCTGAAGTAGTGAAACATTTCATTTTGACATCTCTGTCATAAAATATTTCATAACATGATTTTGACATGAAATTCAAAAAGAATTTCCAGTCCATGACAGAGTTCTAAATTGAATGTTTTTCCCTCAATTTGGGATGAAGTGAGCTCTAAACCAAGCAAAAAATCCCCCAATTTTGTGTCTAGCTGTAAGCAGAGATGTCTTTCTCTAGCAAACACCTTTTTTAATCCTTCTGGACTTCTGAAGATCATAAAGTCTAAATGTTTATGCACTCAGTTAACCTAGGCTGAATTTTCTCCACAAATTTCCAAGTGACTCATTTAGCAAAGAGCCATCTTACAAAGTCTTACCTTAAAGTGCTAAAAATTCCCAGTGGATCCTGTTTTTACAGATCCCCAGCACATGGAGACACAGGGCACATCAACGGGGGAGTGGGAGAAAGCTCTTGGGAGGTCTCTTGGCCCTGTGAGCAATCAGGGAAAACAGAAAACTGGGTCAGATGAAATGTATTTGGGGGTGTGGAAACAAATCAAGGACAAAACTTTCAAAATAATTAGATAACAGAACATAATTGTGCTATTTGAGACCAATCCCACTATCCTGCTCTCAGGCAAGAGCAGGGAGCTCAGAAAGAGTGGAAGAACACGGGGGATGTAACACATCCCTCTTACACCCTCCCAGCCTCCAGAAATTGGTTTCCTGTCATTTCCTACCTAATTTTGTTCCCATACAGACTTTTCCTTCTTTAATATCACAACAAGAAAGTCCAGTTTCTTTCAGGAATTTTTATGTGAGACCTTGCAAAAGCCTTCTGGAAATCTAACTGCACTTTCTTGATGCTCATGTTTACTTTGAAGAGCTTTCACAGGTTAAGAAGGCTTTACAAAGCCATGTTGATTCTTGAAAAATTTATTACATGCATCAAGATAAATAATTCTGTTCTTAACTCTCATTTCTACCAAACAGGAAAATGAGGTGTGCCAAAATGAAAACGGATCCTAGCATTTGTGTGGGAGCAATTGAGGAAAATGCAAGAGAGTGGTTGAGCCAGGAAACAAAAAGTTGGATTTCTCTGGAGAAGCATTAAAGTGACGGAGTGTTTGCTGATTACACTATTTTAGTCTCTAAGTAGTAGCAAGCTTCCAACAAGCTGCCCTTGGTGGCATTCCTTCTTCTCATCCCATCTGAAATTTTCATGATAGTTTAGGCAAGGGATCATTTAAACACACACTTCATTTGGCTCCACATCAGATTTTGTTCGAAACAAGCTGTTATGAAAGCTAAATGAGGCCATGAGTTTCAAAACTGATCAGGGTTTTTTGGATGTCTCCATTTATGATTAATAACTTGAGATACCATGAAAGGAGTGGATAATTTGCAGAGCTCAGGATACCTGCTCGGAACAGCTTGTTTTAATCTGGGCAGTCAAGAACAAATCCACTCAACCTCACTAGTCACCTCTAAAAGTTGTTGTCATGACCAACAGAAATATTGCCAGTGACAGGTTGTGGTTTTGTTTGTTTTTTAATGAAAATTTAAAGCTGTTTTAAACAGATAAACACTTCCAGGAAGGATCAGGTACTGAATACAAAAGCACTGACAATGTGATTCTTATCATCTGAGCACAGAGAAATTCAAGTGATGGAAGAAGTAGCAGAAACAGCAGACTGTGCCCTGGGCTGCTGTGTTCCCTGTGCTGGCACCTTGCACGATTAATGCAGGAGACAGGAGACAAGAATTAACATGCAATTAACATGACTTGGGAAATGAAAGAATAAACACAAAGTGTTAGATTTTCACAGTTTATGGGGAAATCCTCCATCCTGAGTCCTGTGTGCTCATTTTCCACAGCCAGCACCTCTGCTGCACCATCCTGTGAAGTGGGTGCTGTTCAGTCCCAACACAGGAACCAATTCCATTTCCGAGATCTCATTTTAGAGGCTCTATTTTAAAGCCTGAATAAACACACCAGGGTCATAATTGCTGCAGTGCCCTCATGGCTCTCCCTTATACTCTGAACCACAGCTGCTCAGTTTTCCAAAACTGGGCTGAGGGGCTGATTTCAGTGGGATGTGAACATCCAAAACTCTTAAGTTGCTTTAAATTTCTGAGCTCTAAAATCCATCAGTGTGAGTTGTGCTTGCTAGAGAGAGCATTGTTACAGTTCCAGGGATAACTTATGGAGTCTGCAGATCTGCTCCAGTGCTAGCACTTTTCGGAGCTGATTTCTGGAGTCATCAGGAGCTTGGCCACAGCTAAGTGAGAATAAATAATGAAGTAAGTGCTGCTTAATCTATCAAATGTTATTTTTGGAAGCTCAAGATTGTTCCTCCAGTGCTCTCAGAGGAAAACTGGGTCAAAATACCACAGAGATGTGTCAGAGGCAAGGAATCTGGGCAATTACTTCAGTTATGGCTAATGAAATATGTTTATCAAGACAAAGGCTGCTGGATGTGTCTGGGCCCCTGCTAAAATCCCACTGGCAAAGATTCCAGGCCTGGCACTGGCTGAGCAGAGTGGGCTGGGCTGAGGGGGCTCAAATTCCCCCCAGGTTCTGCATCCAGTGTTTTCCCTCCGAGCCCACACACAGCCCCAGGCTCTGGAACTTCAGGTGGAATTAAGGACATGCAAGCTCTCAATTTCTTCCCCAGGGGAAGAGGACTGGCCAACCTGCCCCGTGCTTTGAAAACAAGCTCGTTACAAACTGAGAAGTGTTAATACACTGAAGCAACAATGTGCAAACATGTTTGGCACTGCCCATCCACTCCAGGAGATTATCATCAGCATACAAAGAGGTGCAGACTGGATTTTGTCAGTTCTTACACAAACTCCATGAACACTCGTGCAAAGCACACCTACCCATCCAAAAAGCTATTATTCACTACAATGCCAAACTTCTTTTTCTTAAATAATTGAAAAGTTAATCGATAGTCCAGCAGAATATAATGAAAATATTGCATTAACAACACCTAAAAACACTGCTGAACCAGTGCCCAAATCCACATAATTGCTGGCTCCTTTTCAGAAAGGTCAGCTTGGAAAAAGACTTTCTGTGATGTTCTGCCCATAATTTTGCACTTGTATACTCGCCTACCAGTGTAAAACTGGAAGCCAGCCCGTTGAACATTTGGCTCTTGAAGTTATCAATCCGAACTCAAGCCCACTGAAATTTTTGTGCTCCTGGTAGTGCCTAAGCCTGAGCTGTCCTTCCAAGCCCTGCCAGGGACAGGGGCTGACCTTCCACTGGCATCTCTGCCCAAAGCAGCTTGGTGCTGCAAGGCTGCAAAGGCAAAACCCTGGGCCCTGAAGGATTTCACCACAGAGCTGCAGCAGGGATGGCAGGAAGGAGCCAGGCTCTGTCCTCTCCACTGCTGCCACAACTCTCATTTAGTGGAATGTTAAAGCTGCTGGAATCCGTGTGGGGAGTCACTCTGGCTCCTGATGAACAGTGTATTTATATTCCCATGCCTTTCCCTTTTCAGAGAAGCCTCCACAGACATTGCATCAGGAGAGAAAGTGTCTGACACTCATCAAAAAGCTCATCACTGAGAAGCCAAATGAGCTTGAACTGAGCTCACACCCAGCCACCCACCCAGCCCATGTGCTAGATGGCAAACAATTGCAGCATATGCCTCCTGAGACACTTCGAGTGACAAAGGCCTCAAATCTCCAGAACACCCAGGATAAATAGAGCAACCCGAGTGTTACAGCCATGCCCAGGAATAAAGTCTCTAAATATTTAGTTTAAACACCTCAACTTTGTTACAGCATTTAAAGAGTGCACATAAAGTTGACCTGAAAATCAGAGTAACAAGCAATAAAATAAAAGGATGTTCAATAGACACACCACGAAATAAATTAACTGTGATCTGTGAAAGTCAGGAAAAAAAAAAAAAAGCCGTTTCAAAATGTAAAATATCCTTTACGGTTATATATTTTAAAAAATTACTTCTATTTGTCAAGAACAATTGACCCTTTCTTTTTGTCTTCATTTATCTCAGAGGAAAATAAAATGAAACAAACAGCAAAAAAGTCCCAAGTACAGTCAACAGCTGAGCCAGGGACAAATTAAGTAACACAGATTGATGGCTGTTGATCTACAGCAGCACCATCACATCCCAGTGCTACAGCTCATATTTCATTTAAAGACCCATCTCTTCTTTTCCAGAAACAGTGCAGTATTTATGGGAGAAGGCTGATTTGCAAGCCTTGGAGCTGCACTGCAAATCCAGCTTCAGTTTTTCCAATTTAGCTTTAAAGCTGGCGAATTCCTTGAACTTTCGAGGTACTAATTCAACTAAAACAAAACCAAACACTGGAATAAAATGAACACTGAAACTAAAGATATATTTATAAAAATGCTGCAGACAGGGAAAAACTTTTTATCTTCAATATCTTAACCAGGCAGAAAGGAAATAATGTTTGCTACCTCTGCATCTCCACCTTTTCTGACCCCACTGGTGCAACAGCTCATCATCCTCAGCTCTTCTCCTGGGGCTTTTCCCAGAGCTTTATCTTCCCTGGCACTCCCTATTACAGCAGCACACAGGTTTCCTCCTCCTGAATTCCATTCCCCTCTCAGCCTCTTGAAACCTTAATCTAAGAGTTTTTAATTTCATAGCTATTAAAGACATTGATATCCCAGACAGAACATAACTTTTTCTGTGGATGTCTGGTAAGTGTAAGATAAACGTTCAATCAATTTTTAGATTTCTAATGGCTTAAGCATTACAGTGGCCACGTAAAAACTGCCAATTTTACTTGAAATACAAGAGGTTTCCTCAGAAGCTGCAATAAGCCTTTGTGCTTTCCTGTGTTTCTTACAGACACATCTGGAACACTGTCAATACTGGAGGATTGATATTTGGTTCAATCAAAGCCTCAAGTTAGAGCTCCACAAAATTATCTGGTTTTCAGAGCATGCACAAATCTGTGAGAATCAGGCTGGTTACTCTGGTGCTTGGCTATAAACTGCCAGATTCAGGCATCCTGCATGGAAAACTGGCTGAACAGGTGTGCCCTTTGCTAGGACACAAAGCTGATGCCATGGAGAAGGTGAGTGAGGAAGATCTTTGCAATCCCTGCTGGATTCCACTCTGAACCAGGCAGGAGGAGTGCTGGGCATCAAAGGCTGCATCTGGACTGGGGAAAGGCACTGCAAGAAGTAAAATATCTCTGCAATCCAGACTTAAATTTGGATCTCTCAAGCACCGAGCACAGGGTGGGCACCACTGAGGGTGGCCCTCAGGCTACACCACCACAGAGGCCCCTGCACCTGCACTGAGAGGGGTCTCAGGGGGTTCAGATGGGCAAGAACAGCAGCTGCAAATGCTCTCTGATAACAGCCAGGTCCCACAGTTCTGTGTCTGCTTTCTCTTCTGTGTGCCCCAAACTCCCAGCAGATCTAAAGAGTCCTCCAAAATCTCCTCACCTTTCCGGGAACCATCACAGACCAGTTAGAGC